TGAGTTCAAGGCCAATCTGGTCTACAGAGTGAGTCCAGGATAGCCAGAGCTATGTAGTGAGACCCTGTCTTGAAAACAAACAAACAAACAAAAAAAGAACTGGGCTTATTATCTAGCTTGGCTGGGAATAAGCAAGAGAGTGGCTGCAGACCAAACAATGAGTTCACTATGAATGGAAGTGTTTCTGAAATCATGGGCAACCCCAGCGTTCCTACACACTGTAACTAATTTCATGGACAAAGTTAAACTAATTTGCTTTATTAAAAGTAGATGGCCATCTTTGAAATTTTAAATTATGTTTATCTATATTTTTGTGTCTGGTGTGTGTGTATGTGTAGGTCAGAGGACAACTTGTGGAAGCTGGATTGATCTCAGGTCCTCTGGCTTGGCAGCGAGTGTCTTCCCTGCTGCACCACACTCCTGGTCCCAGATGGCCATCTTAGTCACAGAACTGTAGCAGAATCTCCGCGGAGCTAGTTTGGCTAACATTTATTGAGCACTTATTACGTATTAGGCACTGTGCTAAGTCCATAGCCCTATGATGTAGACTAGTCATTATTTGCTTATTTTGATGATTAAAATAATCTTCAGATAAATTAAAATGCCCAATGGAAAATGGGGTTGCTGAGTGAGAGTCAAATGTAGGTGTGACTGACTCTAGAATCTGAGCAACTGGTATCGTGTTCTGACAGAAAACTGTATCTAGCAGTGTCCACAGAAGTAGCTAGCTCCTGACTGACCTAATGGACAGGTGAAGGCTATTCATATAAAGGGTGAAGAACACCAATGTATCACAATAGCCTCTCAGCATGTGTGGGGTCACGGATGACGGAAGATATTTCCCGCAAGATTTTTGTCAACAGATCAGGTTGGAGATAGTATGTCAGGGAAGTGAAAGTTTTGTGTTTCCAAGGTTAAACATTATTAATTATTTCAGGGGATCGTTTACTGTTGACAACTTAAACTGCTACCCCATACTCCGATATGGAAAGCACACGATGTGCACCAGCAGCAAGTGTAGGCTCAAACCTGGGCACTGGTCCCGGGCTGTGCCCATCTCTATGTAGTATGAATACTCAGGTAAAAGAGAGGCCTGAATAGTAAAACAAAGGAAAACCAAACCCTTCCATTATCCTATCACTGTTGGATGCTACTTATGGGAAATCATTGCATCAAAAGGACCAAGATATCTATTCTATAGTAGCCCTCATAGCAACATGCAGCTGCTGCCAGCACTCCTAGCTCTGTGCATTCCCTGTGGGAAGGTCATCTCACCATTAAGAAGCCTGACTGGTGTTCTTCCTTGTGGAGGTCAACTTTACCTTTCTGTAACCTATCTTTTCTGCCCTTAGACAGACAGTCTATTTTGACATCTCTACCTCCCAACAGTTCTGAGAGCAGTAGATTTGCTTCCCGCTTCTTTCCTGTCCTTGACTGTAGGCAAAGGTCTTAGCATGCTACCAAAAGTTGACTAAAGCTCCTGGTAAAATCGATGAGCACACACAGAGTGGGACTATTCCTGTGACATACTAAGACTGTTCTGGTGTCCTGGCACATGCATGACGCTGTGTACTAAAGAGAGCCTCCAGAGTTTTGCTCATATATGCTGGTCTTACTGAACAAAATGAATTCCCATTCTGTGTGACTAAAAATAGATGGCTCATGAAGTTTTTTTTTTTTTTTTTTGTTAACTATGATCCCACCGGGATCAGCATGAAACAGGTGGGAAGCCAAGTCTCACCACCTTCATGAAAATTATTTGTTTTCTTGGGATCATCTGGCACATGCAATCCAAAAAACAATTTGTTACTTACTCATTAGCATTCAAGCTAGCTGTGGCTCTGATGATCATGTAGCAGAGCGTGAGAGCACTGAGGAGGCCAAAACTGGCAATAATAAACCATTCTTCTGTTGACAAAGGAAAGGGAGGAAATCACTCTGGGGAGAAGATTTAAGTCAAATCGATGTCAACACTTCCCTCAAATGCAACGAAGCAGACGTCAACGAAGGTGTAAGCCAAGGCTGGCTCAAGGAAGTCAAGCAGGAGGAAGTTTGCCAGAAAGCTACTAACTAGAGAAGGTTAGTGGAGTACTGGGAAAAGCTGCAAGGAGAAAGGAAAGCATGGCTCAACCATTTCTTTCAGTTTCGATCCAGAAGTACACGAGGAGTGTGACCACCAAAAGGCACAGGAAAATTATGTAGGAGAACTGTACATGGACATAGGTATCACTGTGAATTTAAATGACAGTAGAACAATCATACTTAAAATAATTTCTCAAATTTCCTTTTTGTCATTTCTGCATGATTCTAATACTTAATCTTAGAAAAGGGTTAGGAGCACGGAAGTGGGGCTCCCAAAAGTCTTAGTGTATGCTAATCAGAAAGCTGCTCCTTCAAGATACTCATGTTTGCATTTTCTCTTATCTATCAGTTCAGAGTATTCATACTAAAAAGACACATCACAGTTGTGCCAAGAAAACAGGTCCAGGACTCCTGCTGGGAAGTAAAACTGGTCCTTCTGTCTGTAAAAAGTAGGAGGGGCCGTGCCTGACAAGGTGTATAGAAGTCAAAATCAAAGTCATGCATACATGGGGATAGAGGGAGACTAAACTGGGGCCTGAGAACCAATATGACTTGCTCCAAAGTTGTAACTACAATATACTGCCAAGGATAAATGAAATTGGGAGGGTTTAACAAAGTAACCCTATAAAATTCCTCTATATCTGTAATAAGGCATGACGAATGTTCACGCACAAAGCTGTGCCTACAGGACTGCTGCTTCATTTTAACATTTTTTAGTTAGTATACAAAATAATGGCTTTCATATGACTCCATATACATAACATAGCTATTTCTTTCAAAACTTTTAATTTTCAATTATGTGTATGTGTGAGCATATGTGCCCATAGAGGCCAGAAGGTGTGGGACCCCTTGGAGCTGGAGTTATCTCATGTGGGTGCTAAGAACTGAACTTGGGTTCTCGAAAAGAGTATCAAGGGCTCCTAACAACCCCACTGGATATTTCTTAGTCTGGGTTTCATGAATTCCAAAACTGCATAAACTGTGTGTGAGCAGGCCTCTCTAGGATCCCAGGATGCTAAACTGGTTCTATGAGCTGTATCTTTGCTGTCCTGGTTGGTTTATATGACAAAATGCTTTGCAAACTCTTCATATAACACTGCAGCCACTGCTTCTTGGATACAGATTTTCTGGTCACTAGATTTAAGTCAAAATGGACACTCAAGAATCCATGTGAAATCCACTGTTTTAACCTGTGCATCTTTTTAGTTGGAAATAATGTATACTGGAATTTTTAAAATTCAAGAGATGAATTATTGTTGATGAATTATCAACAGCAAGGAGAGTAACATAATATTAATTCTTTTATTTTCTTTTTGGCTATAGCTGAGGCTAGTCTTGAATTTAAAATTCTTTTGCTTCTACCTCCTAAGTGAACGCTGGGATTACAGGCATGTGCCACTGTGCCCACTGAGCTGCCACCAAGCCCACCTTCTCATAAACCGTTGTTCACAGACTAACATTTAGAAACTTCAGTAACATCTATTTTTCTGAATCCTGAACACATATACCTATTTGTGTCTTTGCATGTGAGAAATACCATCACCACACCACCTGGCAGAGCCAAGAGTACTTCAGCAGCAGTCTCCCACTGCCGGGCATAGCACAGTGCATTGCACACAGCAGATGCTGGCTGAAGCTCCTGCAACTTGCTTATGGTAATACAGGGATTTGGAAGGAAAAGTGGTACTTTGGGTCTTGATAATCACATGAATTTTCTTTACTGGCATTATGTGTAAATTCTGATAAAGGTGGTTTTTTTTGGGTATATTTTTATCATCAAAATATTTTGTTATCAAGATGTTGAAGACGGTTCCACATAAAAATGACAAGATGTGTGCTTAATGTAGTAGGTGCTCAATAAATGCCTGGTTAACAAAGGACTTATAAAAGCGCAATTTTAAATCACCTTTATCTCCTTTCATACTGCCAGACCAAGTTTTGAAACTCTGGACCATAAAACCTAAATGCCAAAGTAGGAAAACCATGAAATGTTGCTAAAACAAGCATTGGGAAATGGTAAGAAATGAGTCACAATACATCAAAGAATAGTTTTACTTAAAACAGAATGAAAGCTCTTAGCCTTCAGACAAATGGCAACCTCTGGATGGCTCAAAACCATGCATTTCAACAAAACAGATCACAGAAGCCTTAACAAGCTATTCCATAATCTGCTTCCCCCATGTTTGTTACTGACTCCCAGAGGTAAGTGGAGCCTCCTCAGCTCTAGGCTTGAAGTCCTGGTAAGCAGCAGCATAATTAGAAAAGGCAGCACCAGAGTGGCGACGAGAGAGATGGGTGAGAGGTTGTTAGATGGAAACTGCATGTAAAGAATGAAAACAGAGAAGAGGACTTGCTTGTTACAGGATGAATGCCTTGCCTACAACACCATCCACACGCCACCAACCAACCCACTCACACTGCATACAGATGGGCACTGCCCTCACAACAGTACATTTTTGCCTATTAACAGTTCAACAATCAAGACATTTCATAACGAGCCCAGATTATTTTTTAGGTTCAAATTTTACATCAGATTTTCACCACGTTGCTTACAGCCTGGAAGATCACGGGCAGCTGTGCTCAGCATACAGTACACTAGCACTGCTGCCTGCCGGCCCACACAGCACTCCAGTGTCTCCCTTTAAAATGTCTATTTGCAATGCAACAATTTCAAAACACGGCTTACTGAACAGCTATTAAGACAAACCTTTAAACAACTATCCATACAATCACCAGCATACACATTCCTTACTATGAACAAAGTTTGTAATTCTAAACAGCTATTTAAATGTATATATTCTCTTTTTCTTTCTGAAAACTGCTGAACCACATGACTTCAACTTTCTCCTTGACAGTCACCACATGCCCAACATAGGCAGCAATGCTGTCTGGTACCTGGGAAAAGGGTCCCCACTTACTTGTTACTGCAATGTTGATTTCACCCGTCCGGGGAGTGAGCTCCCCATCTTGAGGAAGAGGCGATATGCCTGAAGTTCGCAGTGGCTCAAGGCCAAGGGAACTGTCACTGGCAAGGTCGCCGAGGGCTGATCTTCGGTTAACTGCTTGGGTTCTGGTGAGCCTTTCCATATCAAACGCTACATTATCAGTACACGGCAGATTTGGCTGCAAAATATTTCCAGATAAAAAAAAAAATCATTATAAGAGCAAGTTTATAAAACACCCACTCCCAGAACTTCACCATGCTTTTTCCACATAATCACTTCTCATTTACCTGTCCATCTATCTTTCCTACTATCATTTAAGAAGCTTTCTTCAAAGAATCAGTTGATTTTCTCCCAAATGTACAAAGGAAAACCAACATCCATAGCTTAAAACTGTCCACTGTAGCTTGGCAAAAAAAAAAAAAAAAAAAAAAAAAAAAAAGATAACCATTTGTGGTCTCAGTCACAAGCAAAGGGAGGCTAGTAGCATTTACAAAGCTGGCACATTCAGATTGAAAGTTTACTTTGTTATCTTAATGTTAAATGTCACTGTTAGCATCTACCTTCAGAGACAAAGCAAAAGCAGATCAAAGCTCAGGTCTGTAAACTGTAAGAAAATAATCTGCATCAACACCTGAGCCTCTAGCTACAGCTGAAGTCCACCCATGGAGAGGTGGGTGTGAACACTCACAGCAGAGTAAGAGGCAGCTCCTTCTGTCTGTGGAAGACAGCATATAAAAACAGAGCTCAGAAAAATGGCAGACAAAAAGAACAGCCAAGTCCAGAGCTACTGCTTCTAGGGCAAAGGAATTCTGTTTTTGAGTCTCTCAAAGTTATATATATATATATATATAAAAACAAAACTAAAAGCGCAATGCAGGGCTGGAGAGATGGCTCAGAGATTAAGAGCACTGACTGTTCTTCCGGAGGTCCTGAGTTCAATTCCCAGCAACCACATGGTGGCTCACAACCATCTGTAATGAGATCTGGTGCCCTCTTCTGGCATGTGGGCATACATGGAGGCAGAACACTGTGTACATAATAAATAAATCTTAAAAAAAAAAAGCGCAATGTAAGAGCTGATGCTTATAGTAACGTGACATCCCAAGAATGACAACTATCATTTATTCCAGAAGGCATTCTGTCATTAGAAATGGGCAGAAGACAGGTTACTATTTTCACATGCTGGCCATATGAGACAGCATCTGCTCAACTAGTTGTACATAGAGGATGACTAGGCCTCCAGAGAACAGTTGGCAATGGTGACTTTTTTCTTTCTATTAAAAGTATATCCTGGGGGCTGGAGAGATGGCTCAGTGGTTAAGAGCATTGACTGCTCTTCCAGAGGACTCGGGTTCAATTCCCAGCACCCACATGGCACCTCACAACTGCCTGAAAATCCAGTTCCAGAGGATCTGACACCTTCACACCAATGCAATAAAATAAAGATAAATAAATCATAAAAAACAAAAAAACAAAAGTATATCCTGAATATATACTTATTGATATTTTAGTTGTGAGCCTTAGCCTTTAATGATGAGCTATCCCTCCAACCCTTTAGACCTTTCTTAAGCAGGAAATATAAGAAGTCTCCACCACTGTCAGTGTCACAGCCGACCCCAGGGCAGCACACTTGGCTAACACAGCTGTCAAGCTGCTCAAGGTTCTCTGGTGCTTTTTGGTTATCATCTTTGTTCACTGCTTGCAAGTTACTGACATGCAAAGATGTGAAAGGCAAGCTTAAGAGGGCAGAAATGTTATCATTTCGTATTATGGCAACTATAAGAAAAATTACTATTAGATCACAGTTTTCTACACCCTATTTCTTTCATGTGCCCTCCATCAGAAGCACACTCTTCAGAATAGTCTAGTATAGCTATTTACATTCTCTTCTCGTGGCCCCAAGTAGTTTAGACTTTGAAGTCACCTGGAAGAAGGGCACTGTTGTACAAAAAGATCCACGTGGCAAAGAAAGCAAGAGTATTCTAAAGAGATTTGGCCATGGCTTCTATTACGCTAGTTGCATTACACTGCATGTGGATATGATATTACACAAAGTAGTGACAAGCAGGGAACATACCACAATTCCTAGGGCTTTCAAAATGTTAAGTTTGCACATTGGGCAGGTACAGTGTTCACTAAGCCAGGGATCCACACATGACTTGTGGAAAACATGCCTAGAAAACAACAGAGAATTACGTCATAAATTACACATTGAAGCACTCCAAGGTCAAAATGGAAAGAATTAGAATTTTTTCTGCTTTAGGGGATTTCCAACACCCAAGAGAAAAACAGTGGAGCACATAAAAACACAACCTACAGAAATTCCCCTGTACCTAACAGCACTGTGTAATGAGCGTGAGAGGGAGACAGAAGCTTCAACTTATTTCTGTGCTGTGGATCCACCACAGGGTCTCACGCATGGTGTAAGTGACGGGGATTGCTGAGTTGTCCAGGATGGTCCCAAGCTCACAGTAATAAAGACTAGCTGGGACTGTAGGTATAAACTACTGTGCCCAACTTGCCTTTTCATGCCACTGAATTCCAAAAGACTTGAAGAAATCTAGGAAAATGTATTAAGAATAAAGATAATCAGACTTTATAATCAAGCTATATTTTAGAAGAATAGCTCATGTAGAAAAATGGAATTTTGGTGGGCGGCAATGGCGCATGCCTTTAATCCCAGCACTCGTGAGACGGAGGCAAGTGGATCTCTGTGAGTTGGAGGCCAGCCTGGTCTATAAGAGCTAGTTCCAGGAAAGCTCCAAAGCTATAGAGTAAAGCCCGTCTCGAAATGCCCCACCCCTGACAAAAAAAAACCAACAAAACAAAAACCAAACAAAAAACCAAACAAACCCAAAAGACAAAATATTTTTGTTTCACACAGATGTTAAGTCGCAGTTAAATTAAGAGTTCTCTGGATAAATATTAGTTTTATGGAATTCAACTTAGGCTGAATATTGGTAAAAGTCAGAGGGCAGTTAGAACTCTTTTAAGATGGCGAACTGTAACTAAGAATGAGAGCATCAGTTGGTGGCTCTTGGCTGAAATGTTAACTGTTAAATGATGGGGGACAACGACACCCTCTTCTACTAGTGACAACATAAAGTCACATCCTCCTGATGGGGTCAGCCACTCAGAGAGGGTCTGTATTCTTGGAAAAGAAACTTGTTCCCATGGGAAGTCCGGAAAAGACTTTGAAGGACAGGCAAAGGTCATGCCCAAGTTCTGGTACCCTTGTACAGGAACCTGAAGAAGCTGTAACCCAACACGGGGAGCCTGGCGTGCTAGACTGACACAAAGGGCATCAACAGATTCTCAGGTAGGTTTGGAAGAAATGTTGCAGTCTGAGTTTGGGATAAAAGATAATATGAGAGATACCAAATTGGGTCATCATATAATTTTAATTTAAAACCTTGAGTGTTAATTTATAATTTAATATTTTGGTTACTATTTGAAAATAAAATTTTTAAAAAGATGGTCTAGAAAACTTTTTAGTAGAATGACAATTTCAGCCAATAATTTATGCTATCCCACAGTTTCCATTTGATGGCCTTATAACCCACTTCTTTGAAGACCAGAATCAAGATCTTGAAGTCTTGCTTTATCAGTCTAGTCTGAGACTTCCAGACAGGGCATTCTCACTCCTAAGTACCTTTAGGGGTTTTATAGGCTGGAAAGCTATCAATCCATATGGAGAATTATATTATAGAATACAATTATAGAATACAAGGTGTTATGACTTCCTCCTCCTACTTATATGGACTAAGAGTGCTCCAGAGAAAAGACAAGGTGCTTCTGAGGACTCAGCCCTTACGAGGGTCATGTGCTACTGCTCAGCAGCACTCAATGGTACCAAGGTTACTGAGCAGTGGAATACAGAACAGAGTAAGGCTGCTGCTGCTTCTTTTTAAAAGCAACATTATTATTTGTGGGTATGCACAGCATGCTCACAATGTGGGAGTCAAGAAGAAAACTTGAAAGAATCAGTTCTCTCCTACAACTATGTGAGTTCCAGCAATCAAACTCAGGTCAACAGACTGGGTGGTAAGTACCTCTATACATTAGGCTATCTCTCCAGCCCTGAACAATATTTCTTAATCTCTGCGGGGCATGCAAAGTCCTTTTAGATTTCGTCTAAACTATAGAATCTAAACTACAATTACCTAATCTGTACACATCTGGGAGCAACTGATAGATGTCTGGGGGCTGAGCTAGTGCCAGGACAGAGTGGGACAGTCGAGAAGGTGTTCTAGTCTTGGGATGGGATTTGGCTGTCAAAGAGTAGAAGAGATCATGTGATCTCCGAAAGAGTAGCTTTGGCTCAGGAGTGAGATGTATGAATGTGGGTGTGGTAGCTGAATCTTAACCAGAAGACAGTAGAAACCTGGTATAAGCAAGTAGCAGCTGGCCGGGCAGTGGTGGTGCACGCCTTTAATCCCAGCACTCAGGAGGCAGAGGCAGACAGATCTTTGTTAGTTTGAGACCAGTGGTCTACAAGAGCTAGCTCCAGGACAGGCTCCAAAGCTACAGAGAAACCCTGTCTCAAAAAACCAACCCCCCTCCCCCCAAAAAAGCAAGTAGCAGCTGTCTGTGGATAAAGATTTGGCTCTGGCCTGTCCTGGGCAGCGTTTTTGCTTTTCCTATTACTGGTTACTCAGGAAAATACAAAATGGCAAACCTCCTTTACTTAATTTCTCCCAAACGACGGGATGATATGGCCATATGACCATAACCATTTTCACATGCTGTGAGGTTTTCACACACACAGCTTAAGGGTTTACAACTTGTCTGTTCCTTTGACCTTAAATGAGCCATAAGTGGATTTTTTTAAATGTTGGGATTCTTAAGTACTTATTTTCTTATTGTTTTGTTGACCTAGAAGAAAAACTGTTCTAACCTATTAGTCAATTACTGTGTTCCCCTTTGCATGATTATAGAAGATAATAAAGACTATCTGGCTATCTGTAGACAAATAAGAATCTCTTTTCCTTAGTTAACTCAAACCCTAAAAGAAGCATTTCTTCTCTTTAAAAACAAAGGTTTTTAGCTATCACCTGCACCCCAGACAACTACTCCAACTCCTTTCCTGTGACCCAGAGCCAACCTTTCCAGTTCCCACCAGCCCAGCTTTTGTGCAACTAACCCCAGACCTTCTGTCTCTAACTCCCACAGCTTTTCTGAATAAAACCAAGCCCTTGTTCTCTGCATTCATCAGCCTTGAGCAATCCTGCACTCTCCTACCTGGTCACCTTTGGGAACAAATGCTTAGGCTTGTAGCTGCTCCTTCTTTACTATTTTCTTGTGACCACTTCCTCAGCCTGCTACTCACTGTACCCATCATGTCATCTGATTTCTGGGCAAAGCTTTGCTCCTAAGCGTCGGGGTCCTTGGTCCACCACTCTTCTTGCCTCTCAGCTGTCTGCCCTGAAAGACCATGGGTGGGAGACTGGGGAAGACAGGCTTGATCACCTCGTGAGGCTGACTGAAGCACATGAAAACTGTACCTGGAATACTCTGAGAAGCACTAAGGTTTTGCTAAACAGGCAAAATGACTTTAATGTTCCATACAACATCCCAATAAATGTCAAGAATACTTTTGAAACAAGCCTTGGCACTAGGGCATCCATCACTAGGCAGAGGGTGCACCACAGGGGCCAGACCTTGAAAAGCAGTTCTTCCTCACTGTCTTGAGAGACTCTTGTAATAAAAATATACACAGCAGCAGAAAGGGGCTAAGTGGTGGACTGGGATATGCAGAGAACTGTAGGCCAACATATCAGAGCTTCTACCATGACTATTACTTTGAAAAAAAATGCTGTGAGATACTCAATGGGGAACACACAGACTATGGAAGAAACAAAGCCGGCAATACTGAAATGCAGTGCCTCCTCGCTCCTACTCCCCAGGGGCCAGAAACAGAGAGGTCAGAAAGCAGTGGTGCTGGGGAAGGGGGAGGCATCTACACTGGAGGTGAGTTGTTTTCACAACTCTGAAGCCTCTGGGTGTCCTGTTAAGGACCTGGCAAACATGAAAGGATCCAGGATTATTAAAGGTCAGACACAAGAACTCCTTCCCCAGCCAGGCCTGGCAGATGCTGTTTAAGCCGATCTCCCCCTGAGGTCGCCAGCTTCCTGACCTGTTTTAGCAACGGCTGGCATCTTCATGCTGTGGCACTCTCCTTCTTAGGATTTTAACCTACTAACATCTTGTGGCTAACCTTTAAATAAGGTGGCTGTTTCTCAGTTTTGGAGCCATGATGGCTAATATCCAAAAGGTGATCAACTGTAATCAACTGACACAAGCAGGAGGTCCCCAAAGCATTGCCAACTGCCATCTGTTCACAAGAAATTCGTGCGATAGAGGACAAAAAGAAAAGGTCATGTGACAAAGCAATTCACAAGAGATCTGATATTTATAGAGAAAGGTTTGGTTCAGAACAATCTTGTTAAAAATGAAGGACAGACAGACATAGACATATGGCTGTCTTCTGACTAAGGAGAGACAGCAAAGATTCTACCAAAAGCTAGCTGCAGGGTAATATGGGTAAGGGTCAGATTTAAAACAAATAGGAATCTCAAAGGCTTGATTATGACTGAATGTTGATGAGCAAAGATTGACAGAACAAAAAGCCAAGGGGACAGACAGTCAATAGATCAAGGTCCCCTTTCGCTGGCAGGCAAAGACCCAAGTAGAAATAGTAGCACCAGACCAGAGCTGAGCTGCCTCCTCCATGCCTGAAGGTGCTAAGGAGGCTGTAGAGGTAGACATGCTGGAGGCCTAGTGATATGCAGCTCAGGGAAATCGAACAACTATTCTCTCTATGAAGCTGACTGTAAAGTTCACTTGGCTGAGAGTGAACAATGGGTAAGGGAAGTGTTTAAGGAGACACTGCTGTGATAAACAGGGAGGGCCAGCCAGGATAGAAGAAAGACTCTATCAAGGTTAACACTTGGCATCCAGCCAGGGGTGGAACTCTGTCTGTGCAGTCTGTCCGAAGACAGTGAGGGACAAAAGTGCTGAGCCATATGAGATGGAGAAATCCAGGGAAGGCTCAGGGTCAAAGGACATACAGATAAAAGAAAGCAGGGGTATTCCAGGTGGAAAGACACCAAACAGGGAAAATTACCACAGGTACTAGAGAGTCATTGGCTGGAAGTAAACTTGGAGAAGATTTGGGATCAAATCTTCCTGGGTCAACCTCTTCTAGGTCAGTGATTCTCATCTTGAGACATTCTGGGTTGTCAAAACTGTGGTACGGTACTTCTGGGGAGTAGTGGCAGAGGCTAAGGACAATGCTAAATGTCCTGTGTGTGCAGGGCAGCTTCCCTCACCTTCTTCTTCAAATAAAGACTCATCTGATTGAAATGTCAGCAGTGCCAAAGCCGAGAAACCCTGTATAGGTCGAAGGTTGTCACAAAAGATTGCTCAATGGTAAAAGTTAATTTTTACTGCACCTGAGGATGGTAGTGTTGTTAAGGTGAGGGGACAGCATGTTCTGAGTAGGCTGAACACTGTAATTTAGAGAAAGCTTTAATTTATGGAGACTTAAGAAAGCAGCTGATTTCAAAACAATGTGGAGAGTGGACAGTCAGTGCAGCACATCTGCATAAAGTGTGGGCAAGACAGTGGAGGGAGAGAGCAAAGACATTCCCTCAAGTCTGACAACGTTTGAGCTCTTTAAAAGCAGCTCACAAACACAAAGGCTAAGCAGCAACTGTCTTTTTTGGCTGTAGAAAGTTAAGGTTCCACAAGGCTGTGGATCTCAGT